TTCAGCCATAAAAAGGAATGAAATTAGGATAAATGCCATACGACATGGGCAGACCTTGAAAATGTTATGCTAAGTGAAATAAGCCAGACACAAAAAGACAAATATTGTATGATTCGACTTATATGAAGTATTTAGAACAGGCAGACTCATAAAGGCAGAAGTAGAATCAAGGTCTCCAGCAGCTGCATGGGGAGAGCAATGGGCAGCTGTAGTGGGCACAGAGTTTCTGTTTGGGCTGATGAAACGGTTCTGGAAATGGGTAATGGTGATGGGTGCACAACATTGTGACTGTACTTAATACCACTGACGTATACACTTAAAAAATGGCTAAAACGATCAATTTCGATATGTGTATTGTTATAAAATGCACTAAAGAAAAAGTTAAATGTTTATATCCTTTGATCTAGCAATTTTGCTCATAATCTACCTTACAGAAAGACTTTCACATGTACACAGAGATTTATGTCAAATGATGGGAGTGTTGGAGCTTTGCAGTAATGAAAACCTGGACATTAATAAAATAGCTATTGATAAATGAGTGGAGTAATAAAGTAATAGTATGACATTAAAAAAAAAGGATGAGCACAACACCAAATCCTGGCAAGGATGTGAAGCAACAAGAATTCTCATTTATTGCTCATGGGAATGTGAAATGGTACAGTCACTTTGGAAGACAGTTGGCAGCTTCTTACAAAACTAAACATACTCTTATCATGTGATCCACTGATTGTGCCTCTTGTGATTTACCCAAATGAGTGGAAAACTTAGGTGCATACAGATGTTCACAGCCGCTTAATTTGTAATTGCCAAAACTTGAAAGGTGTTCTTCAATAGGTAAATGCCTAAATAAACTGTGGTACATTCAGACAATGGAATATTATTCATTGATAAAAAGAATGAGGCTATCAAGCTTTGAAAAGACATGGAGGAACCTTAAATGCATATTACTAAGTGGAGGAAGCTAGTTTGAAAAGGTACGATTCCAGCTGTATACCATGCTAGAAAGTAAAATATGCCAGAGGTCGGGGGAGGCAGGGGTGAACAGGCAGAGCACAGAGGATTTTTAGGACAGTGAAAGGACTCTGATACCGTAACGATGAATACATGTCATTATACATTTGTCACAGCCCATAGAATGTACACCACCAAGAGTGAACCCTAATGCAAACTGTGGAGTTCGGTTGAAAATGATGTGTCAATGTAGGTTCATCAGTTGCAACAAATGTACCACTCTGGAGGGGTTTTGGTAGTGGAGGACCCCGTGTGTATACAGGAATATAACCCCACGTGGGAGCTCTCTATACCTTCAACCCAATTTTGCTATGAACCTAAAGCTGCTCTAAAAAATAAAATGTATTAAAAAAAATAGTCTTACATACATAATTGGCATGGAACTTTCTCTGGAAAGAATAAGTTGCAGAACATTATGTAAAGGATAATCCCATGTGTTTTAAAATGTTCTCTCTGTTGATCTATATCTGAATATAAAGCAAAGGAACAAGATAAGCAGGATGCCCACTAGACTTTACAGGGTCACCTCTGGGGAGGGGATTTTGGGGATGGTGCAGGTGAAGAGAAAAAGGGGACTTTGTTTAAATACTTCCGTGTTGTTTGAGTCTTTTAAAACAATGTGCTCATTTTAACCTCTTGAGAATACATTTATATATTACTTATAATTGGAAAATAATTTTTTAAATAATGGTTATATATGCTCATTATATAGAAAATTTTAAAGTATGTTCCACAATACAGAGATAACCATGTTTTAAATTTTGTGCATTTTCTTGCAGTTTTTTTCTTTTTGATCTTAGGCTCTCAAATGTATCAACAGTTTTGTTTCTACTTTTTAAAAACTATTCTCTGAGTATTTTACAGTATCATTAAAAATTCTTCTAAAACATTTCCTTTGGCTATATAATTATGACACATCCATACCACGAAATACTGATTAACATTTCTCTACTGTTAAGACAATGACATGGCTCCCATCTTTAGAGATATATATATCTCTTTATAGTGATTATTTCCTTATATAATTGATTGCTAAATGGAATATTGCCTTAAAACATAAATTTTAAAGTTTTGGATACTCTTACGACTTTTTAAACATGCAAAATTTTAAAGTAAATGATACTACATTTTTTTTTAAAGGAAAAACAGAAGACATGGTACCTATTTCTCCATAACGTTTTGTACGTGGATTTCACTAAAGCAGTCGACCGGTCTGGATTCTCTTGCTGTTGCCTCTTTTCCCCATTCTCTGTTCTTTGACATTCTTTCCCACCTATGAAAACCTCTATATTTCTTCACTAATGCTTTGAAAAAAATTTTTTTCTTTAATTTCTGAAAGGAGCAAATCAGAATTCCAAAGCGGCCAGCTTGAATCAGTCTTTCTGTTCTTCTTATGAATAGGCAGTTCCTCCAGGCAGTGAATTAGCTCTTTAGAAAACATGGGCTTTATGTTTCTCAACCCTGAGTGTCTGTAGAGGTGGCCTGGAATGCATTAAAGAGAAGTATTGTGTCAGATCCTCCAATCTAAAACCGAAATCCTGTTCTTACTAATTTTAAGTAGTTTTTGTTTTTGCTGCTGCTGCTGTTTTATTCTGAGTTACTAGATTTTTAAAAAATATTATATGCTTTAGTGAAAGTTGGAAATGGGTTTGTTACAGTATATAGTTGGTTCTTGCTTTATGTTATAGAAATGTGTCTGGAGAGTTTGCTGTTTAAAGGAATCCCATGGTGAATACCTTTCCTGAATCTAGAGTTATCACCCCTTTTTCAATTTTTGTAAATGTGGACTTTTATGTTTCTTCTAGCGACAGAAATACTAAGTTATTTTGTTTCAAGGTCAGGCTATAATATTTAACAGTAATTCATCTTTGCTGATGAACTAGATAATACTCTCTCATAGTAATATCTTGTGTGTTTTAGTTGGGTTTGTTGCCACAAGAAAACAGGTTTTGTTTAGATCAGTACTTCTCAAAACTGTGATGCCCCCAACTAGAAAAAGCAGAATCATCATCAACTGGAAGCATGTTAGAAATGCAGATTATTAGACTCCACCCCAGGCCTACTATTCAGAAACTGAGAGGTGAAGCCCAGAAACCTGTATTTTAACAAGCCCTTCAGTGATTCTGATATATGCTAAAGTTTGAGAACTACTGAATTAGATAATAGCTATACAGTGGCTAAAAATATCAGCTCTTATCACTAGTGGCCTGGGTTTGGTTTAATTCCAAGGTAGGAACTATAGCAATATCTCTTCTAGGAGGTGTGTCGATGAAAAACTGATAGCAAGGGCCGACTTACAAGAGTTGCTTTCATTGTTTCCAGTAGTTGAGATTTTAAGAATGAGCAGAGAGCCAAGAACCAACCCTTCCCTATTGAGCTGAACCAAACTGTTTCAGTACTTAGGATAATTAGCAGAAACTTCTCATTTGATAACATCGTTTAGATTGGCCTCCTTCCATTGCCAAGATACTAAAAATGACATGAAATCACATTTAAAATACCTAAGATTATTTTCAGAATTAAGGAATTGCTGAATTAGCTCTTTCAGATGCTTTTGTTAGTAATTAAAAGCAGACATTCAATACCTTTATGACAATTCGTTAATATCATTGATATATATCTGTTAATTATTGGCTTATTTTTATATAAATATTAACTTTTTGGATAATATCTACCTATCTGGTTATTTAAAAAATATTTTTAATGGAAAAATGTTATGCTAATATGTATGTGTATTTTTTCATTGGAAAATTTTCTATTCCTGAATATAAATGTCACATGCATTTTTTAATTATTTCAAGTGGATTCTTCAGGGTAGAATATTAACTTTGTAAACATGGTATTATTTTATGCATGGGAACCCTTGTTTTAAAGAACTAGATATCCTTGCTAAATTTAGGGCTTTAGAGCTCATTTTGGCTCTTAAATCTAGAGAAGATTTTTGGTTTTTAACTTAGGAAGATAATTAATCTCAAGAAGAGGTATAACTGGTTTGGTGGTGGTGTCTTGGCACTGCGAGGATCTCATTCGTGCTATGGATTAGAATCAGTGATGAGAGAAGCATTAGAAGAAAGCTGACGACGTTCCCTTTCTGCATACTGAGAAGTGGAAGATTTCCTAAAGCTAGGGTCACGCTACCAACTTTTGAAGATACTATTTGTGATTTTTAAGCAAAAAAAAAGGCATCTACATATTATTCACCCTCTACATATTAATAGGTCATATTGTGAGAGAGAAGTTTCACAATAGAAAGAAAGCATTCTTCCAATCATTAATTATTTTCTAAATGTTTGTAACTCAAGAATGAGGGAAGAGTAGAATTTATTTTAAGAAAGCCCTTACCCAATCAAATGAGTCTGAAATTTCTGGCTAGTTTATAGCCAAAGATGTGGTGGACAATTTCTTGTGGTTACTTATTTAGTCGGGCCCAGGCGAGATTAAAAAAATTAAGAAGGGAGGGCAATGTTCTGAGATTAACCAGCCCAGCCACATGCTAATGAATAGTCTATATCCGTGGCCTCTTTAGGCTGGTATTATTTAATCCATTTCCACATATGATTTATTAGTTTCTAAGCTTAGTAAAATGCTTAAAATGATCACTTTTAAGGTGCATAAAATATACATAAAATTGGCCACAAGCTAATAAAAAATTTTCCTTCTCTGAGAACTTAGTATATAAAGTATCAATTCCTCGTAAAATACCTTATTTAAGAATAATAAGTGATGTATTTATTTTTGACTCAGTGAAACAGGTCACGATACTACAAGTATATAAGAAACAGTCTAGGGTGTTTTGAAAAGATTAGTCAGAAGCAAAATGAAATTTGAAGAGAATTTACATTGAACACATTTTGAATATTCAAGTTCAAGTTTTAAATAATATACCTCAAGTTATTTGGGCTGAAGATACATCTCGTTTTGTCTTTTGATTCATAAACTTCGTGGTTAGCAAGTTCATCTTAGCAAGCCATTTTATTTGTTTTCCCTAGATATCTGAGGGAAACCAAAAGCACACAAACCTACAAAAAAGCATCGAGAAAGCTAAAATTGGCCGACATGCAACGGTAAGTTTGTGTCTGTGGATTCTTTAATAATGTCAATTCTAAATTCGAAAATAAAGACTCCTCCTGTGAGGAGTATGTCATTCCTACCAGAAGAGAAGTGAGTCACAGCAAAGGACATGAATGTTCGACTTGGTGGAATTCACTAATTGTGAGTCTAGATTTATTATTATTATATTGTATATGGCAGCATAGTGTGGAAGCATAAACTCTGGTGCCAGACTGCCTGGGTTTGAAAGTCTCCTAAACTCTCTGTTCTCAGTTTTCTCAGTTGTAAAATGAGGAATAATAAAATCTACCTCATCAGATTATTGTGTAGATTACAGTATTATTGGCAAAGCACTTAGAAGAGAACCTGGCACAAGACAGGCCCTATGTAAGTCTTGGCACAGAACAAATTGAAGGCTATCACTGTGGTATCCTTGTGGCCTTGTAATACTTCTAAATTATTTAAATGAATATTGACCTATTTTCAAAAGTGCAGTGTTCTCTAAAGTGTTATGTTAGGGGTTTTTAAAAATCACTTTACGTTCTAGTTCCATCATTATCTTAGCTATGGATTTATGGCTTGAGAAAATATTGAAGATCAACATGAACCACAAAGCATTCCATCTAGGCCTCTATTTGTACCACTTGATTGTGAAAGAGACACAAAGACTTGTCACATTATAGAAAAGAATACGTCATAGGTTTACAGTGGCTTTATGATTTTCAGTTATTTCACATACCTTTCATGCGAATAGTCAGCGTAGTTACAGATAGGAATTGAAGAATGGTGATTTCTGAAGAATATTTAAGGGAAGGTAAGTTCTGGACATAATCTGAAGCTATTTTATTTCTTCAGTTGATCCTTTTCTTTAACATCGGCAATAACTTATAGAAGCACCTTCAGCTAATGGTGACATACCTATGCCCTCAAGTTGTCAGCCAGTCTGCTGAGTGCTACCTAGCCCACTGGAACCATTGCAACTAGGGAAAAACTGAGCAAACCAAGTTGTTGCCTGCAGCTATCACAAGAGTGTGGTAGTTCAGAAAGACTCCTGAGAAAGATGAACTCTTTGTGTTCATCCTGAGCTCACCATCAGGATTTTCAGAAATACATAGCCCCTGTCTCCTGAATATTATTTATGGTGGTGATGTTGACAATGATGATGAAGAAATAGCTAACATGACTCTGCTGCTTACTATGAGCCGGGCAGGTACTGTCATAAACACGTTTTATATATTTATTGAATTCTGCCAACAGTCCAAGGAGGTAGCTACTTTTTGAGTTGCTGAAGGCATGAAAAGGTTAAGTAATTTGACAAAGATCTCAGTGCCAACAACATTCTGAGGTGGCTCCCATTTCAGGGTGTCTGGAGAACTGCCATTGCATCACACGGGTATTCACTTGTTTCTCTCTGCCTTCATTGGCTTTTTCTTTTCTCATTTTTCATTGTGGAGCATGTATATAATTTGGGTATGGATGGCAAATAATGACCATCTTATATTATAGTTATTTTAAAATCTCTCCTGAGCTGTGCTAATATGGTATACACTCATCATATATGGTATTTATGTTTAAATTAAAATTAAACGATGTAATTCAGTTTCTCAGTACCAATAGCCACATTTCATGTACTCGGTAGACACGTGCGGCTAATGCTTTCTGTATTTGAGAGCACAGATCTAGAATATTTCTATCATTGCAGAGTCCTGTTGGACTATGCTGCTTCAGAGCATGCTGCTCTGTACATGCGTTCTTTTGTACAAATTGTAACTGACAAAGAGCTTTCTTCGCCTTGGAACCAAAGAGAACAGCTAAAGGAAAAAAACAAAAATTCAAGTACAAAAACACAAGCTAGCAGGTGTTATTAGGCAGTGTGAACTACTTGATTTTGCCTCAGACATCCTATAATTCTGTACTATAACCTTTGCCAGTGTTTGATTTTTCATTTGGATTTAATTTTCAGGTTTCACACATATGAATTGAATATATTGAATATAGCACTGTAACTTCTACCTGTTAGAACTATGGCTGGAAATTTCACATGCCATTTATTGGTCATAGTATTTAAAAGCTGTATTCTGATTTAGCTTTAAAGGAAAGTGATAGACCACAAGCTACTATTCTGTTCTTTCTAATATCTTTAAATATTTCTAAAGGTTATCCTTAAAAGTTGAAAAATTATCTAGAACACTTAGAGAAAATTATATGATGATTGATGTTATCATAAATATGACATATATAAAGAGACAATATTGTGAAACTACCTAAGAGGCAGTATAATTTTTTTGCTAATGTATGATGCCATAGTCTTTGAGTTCATACATAATTGGTAACCTCTTATCTATTTATGAGCATTCTGTTCTACATATTAATTCCCTTTCAGTTAGTCAATATATTTAAAAGATGCTTGAGATGTCAGAGAAGAATGAGAATTGAGTTTGTTTTTATACTATAAATATATGTATGTGTACATATAATATGGTCACATAGTTATGAGAAATAAAATGAAAATGTCTATAAAATGTATAGCTTTATAACGTATGGTATTTTGTCTGTCTTAACTGTACATAAACTATTGTGAATGCAGGAAGAGCGAACCATGCTAGCAAAAGAACTTTCTTCACTTCAAGAACAAAAGGAACAGCTAAAGGCAGAAGTGGCTAAATACAAAGAATGTGACCCGCAGGTTGTGGAAGAAATACGTAAGTTTATCACATCTTGAGGATTTTTAGCTTTGAAAGACTTTATACTTCTAGTTGCCTGGTAACCATTCTCCATGTATATGAGAAAATAAAGCCATTAATAGTATTAGTGCTTCATTTATGTTTCCAGAAAGGAGCCTTCATGGTAAAGCATTGAACAGTGACAACTTTGAAATTAAGCATTTCAAGAGTAAGGAAGGCGATGGGGTAGGAACATAGACATAAAGTATAAACTTAGGAAACCGAGGAGTCCGAGGAAGAGCTAAGCTGGCCCCAAGTACATTAACTCTAGGAAGAAATCCACCGTTATCGTCTAGGAAAAATGATAGGAAACATTTAAGAGTTTGCAAATTGCAGAAAATCATTCTGCGCATTGACTTCCCTATTGAATATACTAATGATATTTTGCCCTACTTTTAAATCAGAGTCCCCAAAGCTGCATTTTGAATGATTTTTATATAAAGTTAGTAAAGATAGACGTGAATATTTGAGGAAATTAAAAAGTATATTATAAAAGACACTGCATTTAATTGCTTAGGAAAATATACATAACCTCACAGTTTTCTTTCTTAACCTGTCTTTTCATTTAGTGAACTTCACCAAGTGAAACTTTCGGAAAAACTGATGATATGTTTCTGAAGGCTTTGAGAGAAACTGAAAATATTTGTCACTTTAAAATTAACCCAGGAATAGTTCGATTACAATTAAACTCTCTTTGGTGATATTCTTCACCATTAAAAAATTTTAAGCTGCTCAGTTAGTGTAATCTAAAATCAAACTTAATTTTAGAGACAGGTCTCCACTTTGCACAGCTCCAGAGGGCACTTTCACATACAAGTAGCACACAGCCTGGACACAGCCTGCCTCAGAGAGGTAGAGGCAGAAGAATTCCCCTAAGCCAGTCATTTTTTGTAAATTAAGTATTTGGGGAGACATGTTAGCGCTTCATGCCGCCCACAGATTCATTTCATTTATCATCATCCTGCAGAAGAAAGTGCTAACCACATCTGCTGCTACAAAATTAACCACTTTAATCTGTTTTAAAGTTTTATCCCATATCAAATGACCCTCAGTGAACACACGCTCATAAAGCAGCAGGAGACAGGTAGGAGGTTACCGCCAGGAAGCGAGGCCTGCTCATGCTTCACCTGTCCTTCATTTATTACTCTTTCCTGGTTCTGCCTTTCTTCTTGATTTCAGTTTTGTGTAATTCTTGGACTTTTTCTGTGAAGTACCAACTCTTTGCTTACCTGTTTATTCTCTTTTCTGTACAGGACCCTTAGCCATTCCCAGTCAGGCCATTCCCAGTCAGGCCTTCTGCTTTTCTACTTTGTGGTCCTCATTGTATTGCTACAGCTGTTTCCCTGGTTAGCTGACCCTGATTTCTACTTAAGACCTATTTTTACAGTACTTTTCATAAGTTTGATTATTTCTGTCCTCTCAGGAATGGCGAAAACTCTTATTTAGGCTTATAAAATTACTCTGACTGTACTGATGGTGATGCTAAGGCACTGGGTCATCTTGAGGTACAGAAAATCAACAGGGATAGAGAAACGTGCCAGACCAATTCATGAAGTAGGAAAACTTTTACTTCAGGTATATAATTTCAAATGTTACCATTTCTTGTACCTCTAAATCAAGCAGCAATTTTAGCAAATGCATTACCTCTGGAAAAATTGAACTTGAAGAAATTTCAAGGTATAGAAAGGTTGATGGATTTTCTGCAGAGTAGAATGGCATAGTTGACGAAGTTGTAACTAATTTTATACTGGTTTCCTGAATTCTGCTGTCCATTCTTAACCTTTGAATTTAAAAGCTTAGTAATTTGTCTCTCAACCCAAGGAAAACATACCAATGTGAATGAGTATTATGGATATGAGATCTAATTGAATTTAGAGTTAAGAGACTTTTATCATTCTTCATCTACATCAGACCTAGATTATCTTTTAATATTTATTTATGCAGCCACATAAGATGGATCTGTATTTGGATCCTTTAGAATTTGTAATGGTGGCTCTATTACAGATGTATTAATTTTTGACATTTTCACATTGTACATTTCTGATCTTAGTAGGGGAAGGTGAGGATAAGTTCCTCCTTCCCAGCTTTGTGCTATTTTTTTTTCCATTAAAAAATATTATCTAATTTTATAGAACACATTAATTATAGAAAACTATAACATTTAATACATACTAGAGATGTAAGATAATTACATTATTCCATAACTATGTTTTTGATTTGAAGATAGGATATCTTTTTGATGGGAAACAGCCAAACTACAATCTGAAGGAAAAGAAATTGTCAGTCTGTATACCTGTAGGAAGAATTTTTCGTCTACTTCAGTTCTTTTATAGAGAAACGTGCAGTTCCTCTGCTTTTAAAATTGAGAATGGCTAACAAAACTTTATTCAAATATGGAACTTCTTCCAGCCAAGATAGAGTAGTAATGGACTGGATTTATCCTCCCACCTGAAAAAAAAATGTATACACACACACACACAAAATAATGATTTTTCAAGATACTTGGTATCAGACAACAAAGAAGAGTGATTCTTAGAGAAAGGAAACAAACAAAGTAAGCCTTCCAGGTGTTCCAGCTTATTTTGTTGAGTTTCCTAGCTGTGGCACAAGGAAGGAGAACCTAGGCAGAGCTCTGCAGACTCCCTTCGTTGAGATGACACTGAGAATCAGGAAGACCGATGTGGCTACAGTTTACAGGCCAGCATACTGGAGCGAAGAGAGTTACATAGAGAACCCTGGATATCTATAGAGGGTTCCCCTCAAATATTTAGTGCATGTGTGGGGAAACTACCCAAATCTGGAAAGAACAGTCTCAGAATTAGAAGGAACAGTGCCAGGCACTCCCATAGGGCCAGGAATAATGCCTATTCTTATCAGCCAGATTGAAAAAAATTTATGTCATAAGGCATTGAGTAGAGTACTCAAGAAGGTCTTGCCTGCTCTTAACCCACCTAACAAACCATAAAGAGCAAATCTTAAAAGCAAATCTATTTCAAAGTTACTTTTGGCATCCCAAAACAAAGTTGAAGAATATTTATAGAAATACAAAATATCTAGCACCCAACAAAATGAAATTCGTAATGTCTGGCATACAGTGAAAGATTATCATGTGAGGAAGTAGAAAACATGATCCTTAATGAGGATAATCCTTCCATGAAAACTGACCCAGAATGCCACAGATAGTCGAATTAGAAGATCATAACATTAAAAGTTGTTACAACTGTATTTTATATGTTCAAAAAGTTAAGTAGACCCATGGAAGATATAAAAAAGACCCAAGTCAAACTTTAGGAGATAAACACTACAAACTTCAGTGTCCGAAATGAAAAATGCCCTGGATTGGATTAACAAGATTAAACTTTGCAAAAGAAAGGATTAGTGTTTTTCAAGACATAGCAATAGAAATGATCCAAAATGAAACTCATAAAAATAAGTTTTAAAGTGAGTACAGCATTTGTGAGATATAGGACAACTTCAGGTGACCTAATATATGTGTAAGCGGAGTCCCAAAAGGAGTGTATGTTGTGAGGGAGGAAGGTTTCCAGGCTGGAAAAATATCTAAAGAAATAAATATCAGGTTAAATTAATATCAGAAATAAATGCTAACTATAACCCACAGATTTAAGAAATTTAAACATATAAGTAGTAAATAGCAGAGGTCTTGTTATCACTAAATCCAGACTTTTTTAGACTTTAACCTCTACTCACCCCAAATCCTCTTTCCGCAATGAGATTATTGTTTTTAAAATGTGCTTTTTGATAATGAAGGATTTAATAGGATTTCAGCTGTCATGTTATTGCAGACAGATCAAACTTGATTAAAGGATTATAAGTTTCACAAATTGATTTTAATAGGATTCGGTTCTTAGCGCGGCTGTAGTACCCATATTACAATAATCAGGCTTATCTTTAATTCTGTCCTGGTTTATTTTGAAACATTTTTTCTGCTGATAATAGCTATAACTTTTATGTTCTTATAGATTTGGCTGTGTATTATCTCTTCCTTATTTCTCCATAATTCCTGCAGGGAATACTTATTTTTCATCAAGCCAGTTGAATGATTGATATCATTAAGCAAGTATTAGCAAGATCAGTTGCAAATATCTAAGAAGTAAGAAGTAAAAGCAATAATTTGTAAAAAATGAATTTTAATTTTGGCTGCTGTGACCATTTCTTGAGAACAGATAAAATAAGTTGTAATAAAACATGAATTTCCACAAAAATACTTGAAAATAAATCTTAAAAGTACTTAAGAAATTTTCTTAGAAACAAGCGGTAGAATAAAGACCTCTGAAAATTTACCCTTCCATGAAAGCTGGCAAAAATTGTCACAACTTTGCCAGAATTCTAGAAACAGACCAAAGATTTGCCTATTTAAGAAAAATGGCTGTATTTTAGGAAGAATAGGTGTTTTAACTTGCTCTGTGTTTAACCCCTAAACTCCAACCTTGAGAAATAACAGCCCTGCATTCCTGGTATAAGAGGGAGCAGAATGAAAGCTGGGTCTTAAAGATTTGTCATTTTTTGATATCTCTGGTGTTTCACCTGAAAGCCACTAATAGAAAGGATTGTCTTTATTTGACCTGGCTTGGAGCGTGCCTAGTGCTAACAGCTTCTCCCTGGGGAGCATTTGTCTAAAACAATTACAGGCAAGAGTTTTAATGTTGCAACTGTCTTAGATAATGAATAACAATTAAGGCAAACAATAGATTACCTACAAACTTAAAAGGAGAGGCTAAAAGAGATGTTCATAGGTGCCTTGAAAAGCAACATATTCCTGGAAATCTAGAAGGCCATATGCTTGCATAGACCTGTGCACATTCTCAGGAAGGACCGGAGAAGGTCCTAATCTCCCGCTTCTAGCTGACCTTGACTCTGTGCATGCTGGAAGTGAGAGCTAAGGTAGAGTTGTAAATTGCCTAGCTGAGTGTTGGAACATGCCTCAACACACACTGGAATGTAAAAAGGCATTGCTCAGTGGGAAATTTATTAACATTTTAATATCCGTGTTAAAAAATAGAAAAAACTCTCGAATCCGTAACCTAGTCTTCCACCTTAAGAAACTGGAAAAAGGAGGACAAATTAAACCTAAAGCAAGCAGAAGGAAGGAAATACAATGAATAAAGAAGAAATAAGAGTGATAGAGAATTGAAAAACAAGAGAACATCAATGAAACCAAAAGTTGGTTCTTTAAACAGATCAACAAAATTGACAAACCTTTAGCTAGACTGACCAAGAAAAAATGAAGATTCAGATTACTAAAATCAGGAATGAAAAAGGGGACATTATTATTGACTTTATAGAAATAAAAAAGAATAAAAGGTTATATGTCAATAAATTTGATAAACTAGATGAAATATACAAATTTCTAGAAAGATACACACTACCAAAACTGCCTCAAGCAGAAATAGACTAAATAGATGTATAACATGTAAAGAGATTGAATTAGAAATCAGAAAACTTCATCTATGGCCATGCCACCCTGAACAAGCCCGATCCCATCTGATCTTGGAAGCTAAGCAAGGTCAGACCTGATTAGTATTTGGATGGGAGACTGCCTAGGAAGACCAGGTGCTGTAGGCGTAAAAAAATAAGTAAAATAAAATAAAAAAATCAGAAAACTTCTTGCAATGAAAACCCTAGTCTACACTGGTGAATTCTCCCAGTTTAAGGAAGAATTAACTTTTCAAAGAAAAAAAAAATTAGAAGAGAACACTTCCTAACTCATTCCTTGAGGTCAGTATTACCCTGATACTAAAACCAGACAAAGACATCATAAGAAGAGAAAACTATAGGTAAATATTACTTATGAAATGTTGATATAAGAAATCTCAACAAAATACTAGCAAATCAGATCGAACAGTATATAAAAAGGATTATAAACCCTGATTAACTGACATTTATTCCAGGCGTGCAAGGTTGGTTCAGCATACAAAAATCAACCAAGTACAACACACTTATAGAATAAAGGTGGAGGAATCCCATCTACATCATTGTCTTAATAGACAAAGAAAAAATATTTGACAAAATCCAACATTCTTTCATGATAAAAACACTCAACAAACTATGAATAGGAATGAGCTTCCTGAATCTAATAAAAGGAGATCCACATAAAATCCACAGCTAATGATATTGAATGGTGAAACGCTGTATGCTTTCTCCGGGAATGTCCACTCTCACCACTTCTATTCAGCATTATACTGGAAGTTCAAGCCAGGGTAATTAGACAAGAAAAGAAACAAATAGTATCTACATTGAAACGGAAATAGTAAAGTTATCTCTGTTTACAGTTAACATGATCTTAAGTAGATAGCCCTAAACAATCCACAAAACAAAACAACCATAACAACAGTAAAAACCTATTAGTGCTAATAAGTGAGGTCAGCAGGTTGCAAGATACAAAATCAAAATACAAAAATCACTTGTATTTTATATACTAGAAGTGAATGCTGTAAAAATTAAATTAAGAAAAAATTCCTTTATAATAGCAAAATGAATACATAGTAATAAAACTAATCAAAGAAGTGCAAGATGTACTGAATGAAATTGAAGACCTATTAAATACAAAGACATTGTATGTTCATGGATTGGAAGCTTAATTTTGTTAAGATGAAAAAATTCCCTAAAGTGATCTACAGATTTAGTGTAAAACCTATCAAAATTCCAACTGCTTTTTTCAGAAGTTGACGAGTTGATCCTAAAATTCCTATGAAAATTCAAGGGACCCAGAAAAGCCAAAAGAATCTTGAAGAAGAACAACAGTTGAAAGACTCAAATTTTCCAGTTTCAAAACTTACTACAAAACTATAGCGATCAAGATTGTGTGATACTAGTATAAGAATAGCCATGTAGGTTAATGGAATAGAGTTGAAAGTCCAGAAATAAACCCAGTTGTTTTTCAACAAGGATGCCAAGACCTTCCAATGAGGAACTAATAGTGTTTTCAACTAGTGATGCTGGGCACAGCTGCTTATCTACATGCAAATGAATCAACCTGGATTCCCACCTCACACCATATTTAAAAATGAACTCAACTAGATCAGACCTATGTGTAGGAGCCAAAACTATAAAACATTTAGAAGAAAGCATAGGTGTATCCTTGGATTAGGAAACAGTTTCTTGGATATGACACCAGAAGCTCAAGCAATCAAAGAAAATGTAGATTAATTTACCACTTTTTCTGTGTGTCAAAGTAAGTATCAAGAAAGTGAAAAGAAAACTCACAGAATGGGAGAAAATATTTGCAAATCCTATACCTGAGAAGTCTCCAATATCCAAAAATATATTTAGTCGTCTATTAAGACAATGATGTATTTTTTTAAGTCTTACAACTCAAAAGAATTTAAACATGGGCAAAGGCCAATAAGCATATGAAAAGAAGCTCAACATTTTAGGTCGTCAGGGAAATTCAAATCAAAACCACAATGAGATACTACTTCACACTTGTTAGGATGGCTATAATAAAAAGAATGGAAAATAATTGTTGGTGAAGATACGGAAAAATTGAAACTCTTAGTGAGGGGATTGTTAAAATGATACAGCCACTTTTAAAAATAATTTATCTCTTTCCAAAAATATAATATAAAGTTACCATTTGAGCCAGCAGTACCACTCCTAGGTGTGTACCCAAATTGAAAACATGTTCACATAAAAATTATTAAATTATTCACATTACAATAACGACCCAAATGTCTATCAACTGATGAATGGTTAAATAAAATGTGGCATATCCATTCAATGGAATACTATTTGGCAATAAAAAGGAATGGAGTAGTGATATATGTTACAACATGGATGAAACTTGAAAACATTTTGCTAAGTCAAAGAAGCCAGACACATACTGTACGATTTCATTTATATGAAATGTCCAGAACAGGGAAATCTACAGAGATGAAAAGCAGATAAGTAGTGTCCTGTGGCTATGGGAGGGAGAATGTGGAGTGACTCCTAATGGGTATGGGATTTCCTTTTGGGTGATAAAAATGTTCTGGAATTAAGTGGTGATGGTTATACAACCATGTGAATATACTAAACAGCACTGAATTATATACTTTCATATAGTGAATTTTGTGGCATATAAATTATCTTTAAATAAATGCCATCATTATAAATAATATTAATGCCTAGTTGATCATAGCATTGTTATATGCTGTGTAGAATAACTTGAAAGATATAGGTACAGATACATTTAATACGTTTAACACATTTAATAGCAAGATGTATAATTAAGTATAAAGTAAATATTTTCTCCTATAGGGCTAATATATAACCATTGAAAATTTTTGAAGGTCAGGTTTATTGTGATCTGTCATATATATACAGTACATTAAAATCCTTACTGTTAAACCTAAATTATTTTATCTTCTTTTGATGTGAATTGTTTGAGAAACACATCTCAGTTCAACTTATGTGTTGTCTTTAAAGGAGCAAGTACAGTAACAGTGGACATTTAGGAAAGGGAAATTGTTCACTTTGACTTTCTATTAGTGACTAATGTAACTGCAGCTATCCAGAATTTCCATGGGAAGGTAAGCAGGTTTGCGAGATACAGTATGTCACCATTTGAGCTTTTTTTCCATAGCCATTTTATTTGTAAAACCTTTTGTTCATATAAGAAAAAGAATCTATAGATAGATGAAAATGATTATATATGTGTGTGTATTTCCTACCCTCCAGGTCAAGCAAATAAAGTAGCCAAAGAAGCTGCTAACAGATGGACTGGTATGTATGATAATGGCGCTGCTGAACTATGGTTAAACTTCTTCTACATTTACCATGATATGAAATACAGAAGCTATTGTGCCTGGTTTTGTTCAAGAAAAGATGTTTCTGGAAATGTATGTATTAAACAGGCTTTTTATATATAAAATCATTTTAGTTACTTAAGGTTGTTTTTAAAAATCTTATTATTAGTCATTTTGTAAAGTATGAGGTATTTTCGAAAGACCAGTGATTGCTTCCAGTTTAGCTTTTGTGTAACTCTTCTGGATGTCACTTGAGCTAATCACTTAACCTTCATTCAACTTTAAGAGTTTCATAGAATCCTAAAGATTTGTCTTCTTGCTAATAATAACAGCTAACATTGGTTGACAGCTGACTATAAGCCAGGCATTGTAAAAGGTGTCTATATCTCTACAACAATCTTGTGAGATAGATAGGATTATTATCCCTAATTTTAGAGATGAAACTGAGACCATCAAGAGCCCGTGGTCACACAGGTGCTAGGCCATGGAACAAGAATTGACTTAAAGTGGTCACTTTAAGAATCCAGCTTTCCTGATTTCGGAATCCAAGCTCTTATGCTTGGATAGTCTTCTCTGTATACCTGCCTTCTGTAAACGCCTCATTAATCTATTCGCCAATGGATATATCCTCTGGTCTATAGCAGAGATATTCTAAGAAATGTAAATTAATAAGGGATTATCTGTGTATCTTAAAGTTTAGAAGAAAGTTAATGATGATAGTTGTGAATTATATACAGGTATAATTAGTATTGTTAAAACCTGTCTGAAAATTATACTAATGTTTTTCCAGTATTTAATTAAAATAATGGTAATTGAACTGGTCCATCCTGGTAAGAGTTTATAAAGCCTTCACATGTGTTACTCATCCTCATTCTGGTTTTGTGGGAGAGATTGGATAAGATTGCATTAACACAGAGATCAGAAAGCTTAAAGTGACTGCTTTAAGTCAAAGGAGATGAGTCACTGGAAGAACAGAGATTGAGCCAGGTTTTCCTGACTCCATGTCCAGGCCTCTGTATTTCACAAAAAGTTTTAGAATCATTTTTCTTTGTCTATTTTAGAATTAAGTGGATTGATAAAATCAATGTAATTGGCCTTTGGTTCCTATAAAAGTACAATCTTATTTATTTCAAAGTGTTTCCTAAATAATGTAGTATTTTAGCGATAAGAACAGAATGGGGTGAAAGCAGCAAACTAACATTAAAGAAAAGAGAATAATGAAATGTGTGTCCAATAAAGTATAAATAAATAATAAATATAGTGCTATTGTCTAGATTGGAGAAATACAAAATTTTGAGTGAGAAAAAAAGCAAGAGGGTTTTTAGGTTAAAGATAACACAAGAGTCACAAAGTACTCTCTCCCAGTAGTTCTCAGCAAAGCAGCTCAGCAAACGGTAGTAATAGGCAGCCTGTGTATATGATTAAAGGAACTTGACTTTGAAAGGAATCCAGGTTGTGCTCCTTATTTGCGCTGACTTATTGAACTTCTCTGAATTAATTCCTCATCTGTTCAATGTGGATAATATCTACCTCACATTTCGGGAGGATTAAATAAGACAGTTGGTAAGCCCGTTAGCACATTAGACACGTAGGTAAACAAATACTTCTTCCTTCCCCCTTCTCAAAAATATCCTTTCATGTTTTCCAGTTGATCATAAACTCCCAAAATTATAATTTAAAAAAATGTTGGAACAACTTTTCCCCTCTATGTTATTAGCTGAGAAAGAACCTGGAACTTTTAAAATCATGTAGGAAGGAAGATATTTTTAGAACAGCAGAAACAGCTGTTAAGAACCATATTTCCAATTGAGGTTACAACTTGCTCCTTCCATCATAAAAGTGTTATGAAAAGATCATGAAGTTAAAACAAATTATATCTCAGAAAACTTCTCAGTCTTCAAGACGAACGAAAAGAAAACATCAGTAATACTTAGAACTAAAGATTGTTATGTAATTATTAGTTAAGATTTGGTTTCTTTTTACTTAAAAAGTTCCTAAAGTCTATCTAGAATTGAGATATTTACTGTTCAGTAATTTAGTATTTCAATTTTATAGAATGAGATATTACCTCAGAGTATAACTAAAAAAAAAAATCACATCTAAATGTTTTGTGACAGTAAATGCACTTTAAATGTCATTTAACAAATTATGTTAACACCTTGCTTAATAACTAAGATGAGAGACTTTTTATGATTTTGTGTGAGAGGCATCTTAATGAGTGAGCGGGAACAAGTTATAAAGTCTCAACAGAGACTCAAGCACGTATTACCCGTCCTATTCCTATGTATAGCTTGGGTATGCCACCATATTAATTAACAAGAATTTTACCAGTCTTGAAGCTATTTCTTAAAAACAAAACAAAAACACAAAACACTATTTTTTTAATCCATTTACAAAAATTTCCACATATTAGGAAAGTTATTTGATGGGAAACGAACTATCAGGATTGTAGGTAACATTGTCTTGAAGGCAGACATCCAGCGGCCCAAGGACTTGTTCAGTGGAGTCTTTTTGAATTGGTCCATTAAGCATTGTTGTAGAGAGGCTTTTATTTGTTTCTTTTGTTTGTTTTTAACCATATAAGGATTGTAATAAAATGGTTTCTTGCCCTCATGTGAATCAAGATCTCCTTCCTGCAAAGGCTCATAGCCTTACTGTAGTGCATCATTTTGTTCTCTCCTGATCCAGGTCTGAAGTCCATTTCTCCAAACTTTCTACTTCCAAACTGTCATCCATTCTCTCATTTCCTGGAAATCTTTCTGTACTCTTGGAGCCTGTTCTGAAAGCTATACACATAGGACTTGATCTTTTCTCTCTAACATCCGTATTTGAAATCGTTTAGTAATAAATTGATTTTTTTCTCTCTATTCTTTCAAATTGAGGCATGGGCTCTCTACATTCTGGAATACCTGTAATACACTTAATACTTGTCTCATGTAGCAGTGGGCCCTCCAAGTATTTGGCTGACGTTGACAAGAATGTTCAAGTTGTGTAGAGACTAATAAAACTAAACAGATCATTCTGGAGTACTTCATGCTATTAGTATTTAGTTTTCTCTCTTAGGTCCTTATGAAAAGTAAGGATTTGTTTTCGATTGTTTATAAAAAGTAAAGATTTAATATCTATTGATATTCTATAATACTTTAATCAAAAGAAATTAGGATGTTTTTTAACATTCTGTTTGTTGGCGTATCAGTATTAGCCTTAGAAATGAACTTTATTCCAAACATTTAGTTATTATTATTTGATACCTGAAATTAAACTTCTTAAAACAATATTTTTAAAAGTGATCAAACTCCATATATTAATTTGCTAAGGATACCGTAACAAAGTACTTTAGACTGGGTGGCTTAAACAAAAGATATTTACTTTCTCACAGTTTTGGAGCCTGGAAGTTCAAAATCATGGTTTCTTCTGAGACCTCTCTCTCCTTGGCTTGTAGATGGCTAACTTCTCACGTGTCCACACACGGTCTTTTCTGTTCATGACCTGGTATCTCAGTGTGTCTGTGTTTCCTTTTCTTAAAAGGACACCAGCCGGATTGACCAGGGCTCACACAACAGGCTCATTTGTACTTAAACACCTCTCTAAAGACCCAGTTTCCAAATATAGACACATTCTGAGGTACTGGGGGTTAAGACTAAAACATATGAATTTGGGGGAGGTGACACACTTCCACCCTTAACACTCCAAAGAACCTGTTTTAACCTTTTACTTGATTATCACCACTAATACAGTGCTTAACATTTATACACTACTCTGAACCAGAAAACTTTATACCATTACTTTTCTATATTTATAATACATTTTCATTATAAAGGTGGTATATGTACGTTAAAGAAAATGTATAAAATTAAAAAAAGAAAACACCATCATTCCCATTCTCCATGGGCAGCCACTGTGAGCACGTCGGTGCTGCCCCGCGTCCCTCACTGCCTGTGCGGTACATGCCCTCCCAGGTGACTAGATTTTAGATTGCTTTTGGTTTTTTTATTTTATTAGGCTGGGGTGAAGATTCAACCATATATCTTTGTACACAGTGTATTTCCTGGGTGTAAATTCCTTTAAGAAGATATAACATTCATCTTCGTAAAGGAATTTACACCCAGGAAATACACTGTGTACAAAGATATATGGTTGAATCTTCACCTCAGCCTAATAATGCATTTTACCACTCGAGGACACTGAGGATACATCTGTTCCTACCTTGGTCTTTAGAGAGGGGAACCCCCTTCCCTCTTCACCCCTTCTCCTGCACACTGACCTGATTGTCTGGAAGCCATTACTCTGTGTCAGGGAGGGAAAAGGGTCTGGAGAGAAGTGTTTCCTCTGGGCACAGGAGCAGCTCTGATTTCTCCGGTAACAGTCCTGGCCTCCGCTATTGTAAAGTGGAAGAGGCCCCATTAGCTTCTTCCTGTCTTTGGATTATTCCTAAATCAGGTATTCTTTCGTGGCAACTGATTTACTGAATTTTTAAATATGACTTGTTTATTCAAAATATTAAATATTTTCTTCTGAAATTAACTACTCTTGAAAATACAGAAAACTACTTATTTTGATACTTATGAAAGTAATAAAAGTAAAAACAATGGATATAATTATATTTGAAATGTTTTATGATTGTGTTTTGAATTCTCAAAAATATTTTTCATTTCTTTTATAGATAATATATTTGCAATAAAATCTTGGGCCAAAAGAAAGTTTGGGTTTGAAGAAAATAAAATTGATAAAAATTTTGGAATTCCAGAAGACTTTGACTACATTGACTAAAATGTTTGATGTTGTTAAAGGATCTATATGCTTGTGAATATGTAAATTTTTTGTTATACAACAAAATGTATGGAATTGTCATTTACCTGTAACTGCGATTATCATTTTATTAATTTTAAATAAAGTATAAGGTATAGATATTTTTCACTCTTTTTGATTGATCAAAAGCAGGATAGCCATATTCCTACACAGTTCATCAAAAGATAGTGCAAATAAAGCTGTCCACTTAAGATTTACAGATAATTTTTTAGAGATCAAAGCTGTCATGACTTGATAACATTTTTTAGTTTCATTCAAATATTAAATATTAAGAACTGAGAGTACCTTTGAAGGTTCTGTTGTCCACATACACTCACACGTGCTTGGAAATAACCTTTAAAACCCTAATGGCTACTTTACTTTTTCTCAGTATTTAGTGGAAAATGTGTGTTATTAATTCTCAGTATACTGCATCATATTTGCAGATTTCCCACAGAAAAAAATACAGAACATTGCTGTTCTTCAAATTTAGAGTTAGGTAGTAATTCCTTAGGCATGAAAATTCTTTTGAATTTTTGATGACTTTCTACTACAAAGAACAAGCTTGTGGCCCTTTGTCCTGATTTATGTGCTTTCTTTGAGATGATATATTGGTGTTAGTATAGCATACGTCGCCGACTAGAGTTCGGGCATTTTTTCAGCTGCCTAAAAAGTAGGTTAACAATAATGTATGTCCTGTGTATATATCTTTTTGCAGTTAAGCTTAGACATTGAGAGTATTTGCAGGCACTCTAAAGCAAACTTACAAAAAAAAAAATCTAAACTCGTGTATAATGACCTTTATACACATGCCTTACCTTTTTTTTCCTGCCACATTGTTCAATTTTGATATTCTTTTAAGTAACTTGAATGAGCTACTCTGTATTTCTGAACTGATCCAAATGGCATCCAAGCCATTTGTTAGTGAATCTGGCCTTTGTATTGCATGGAGTCGCTCTGGGCCAACTTAATCACTTCCTGGAGGTGGGTGGGAGCAAATTGGTCCATCTTTGTTTATTCTTGAGGCCGATTTCTGTTGCCTTAGGACAACAGCTCTTCTCCCAGGTGAAAGTATTTGATGTGAGTGACAAAGTGCAAAAAATAAAAACTCGTCATAAGCCTTTCCCTAAAACATTAATTGTAAGAATTCCAAAATTTCTCAGACGCAGCTTGCAATTTATTAGAAAAGATACTTTCTCATTTAGAGAGAAGATATGTATGTTCAATAAGGAAGCCATTTCTAATTATCCCTAAATGATTCTATTTTAAAAATCCTTAGGCAACTTTTTTTTTAACTGCATCTTTTTCATGGGGCTAGCATGAGAATGACTGAAATGGGGTCTGTACATGAGCTAACCAGAGGTTGTGGTACCCTCCTAAGCTAATAGTTTTCTGATAAATGTTTAAACTGACTTTAAAAGGTGAGGACAGGGCCTGATTTATAGTAGTATTTGCTTATTTGTGTGGTATAAATACTCCTAGTATAGTCAATTTCACATTATCAATATGATGACAATACAGAGTGGGGAAGAGATGCTCAGCACACTATTATGTATTTTTTCTACTGTACAGATAAAATAGATGTAAATAATCTCCAGAGCATAGGTAATGGTAAAATGTCAAATAATTAGTGATGAGATTTTAGTTTTAGTACCATTGTTTTTAATATAGTTCATCGTAGTTTATGTAATTTAATCTTTATTAATGGCTGTGTTTAACAGCTGGCTTGCTTTGTTACTTAAGTTGGCTTGCTTAGTCCAGCATATCACTTTTCTTAATCTTTAAGAGTTGCTTTTGAGTTTGCTCTTTGAAATTAGAGGTGCTGATTGAGAAGTCCAGGGGCATCGGTCTAGCCAAGCTCTAGGAAATCCTTAGTCCTGGGTTGGTTTTGTTATTGATCTGAAGACTGAGTACAACTTGGGTTGACCTAACGTCAAATTACTAGTGATCTAGGATGAAATTTGATTCATTATATAATGTTAGAATTGATAATCCCAGTAGCTTTTCAGTTGTGCAGTTTCAAAGGTATTTGGGAGCTGATGTCCTTCTTATCAACATTCTCATGTAGTTATTTTTAAAATCTCACAATCCCATTTTTAATTGATTCTAGAAAAGCGATTTTGTACATTTCACAATCGTTCAGGGCCAGATAAATCACTGAAATGTCCCTTCTGAGGTCGTGCCAGGACCAAAGCAATTCATAAGGATGAATTAGAATGACTTTTCCTCTGATGTTTGCCACATCATTAGTCTGATGGGATTATAAAGTGCTTGGCCTGTCACAGAAATAGATGCTATTATTTTTAACTTTATCAAACAGGATTCTCTTTAAAGGATTAGAAAAGGAAATGAGTATATCTGGCAGCCAAGAAGCAAGAACCACCCTAATAATTCTTAAGCATTAAAGTCTAAATTGTAAACCCAATAATACTGTCTTTTGAAAATGATTGGAGTAAAATAAAACATTTTTCAGCTAATATGGCATCATTTGGTAAGAGCAATTAAAATGTGACAGATGGTGGGAAGGTATCTTAAAATTATGCATAAAACTCTCTTTCAGGATACACTTCCTGAATATAAAACATGAAGAAGATATACTTCGAATATAAAACAGGAAGAAAATATACTTCATTATGAAATGGCCAATTGGTAGTGAATTTATATAATACTACCCTAGCTGGTTTTTAGAAAAAACTTTGTGAGAGTTAGAGGTCAAGCAATGTGGCTATCTTTGGTAGTACTCGTTGATTGTGAAGGTTAATTTCTATTTACCAAGATTGACAAACTGCCATCTTGAGAGCCAAATCCAAGGCCTGTATTTTACAGCCCTTGAGCTAAGAATGTCGTTTTACTTTTTTTAATGATGTAAAAATAGACAGGAATATTGCAACAGAGGTTGTATGTGGCCCATGAAGCCTAAAATATTACTATCTGACCCTTTACAGAAAATATTTGTCAACCTCCAAAAGGTCAACATTTGACAGCTCGTGGCCTGGATATGACCTGCAAGGTTATATTTTATTTTGCCCAAACTTTTATTTTTGATATGTTAGTCGCAACATGTTCACATGCAAATTGAGATTTTCAGCTTCTCTTGGAAACTGGGTGATTTGGCTACCTGCAGTGGTTTCACAGGGCAGCACATCAGCTGGAGGTAAGCAGGGCTGGCCCAGTGGTGGGGATTCGATCTTGGAGGAATGCCAGCGTATAGCTTTCTTCTTTAAGTTCCAGCTTTGTTCCAAGTCAAACTGACTTGAGATCAAACTTTAATGTCAACTTTTCAAATTCCAGGAAAAAAAAAAATTCTGGTGCTATTTTTAAAATTGAGATTGTATCAAATTCCTAAATTAACATAGGGAGAATGCATAGCTTGATGATTATGAAACATCTTAAGAACAAGGATATCTTCCCACGTGCTAAAGCTTACTTTTAAGTTTTTCCAGTAGTTTTATAGTTTTCTTCACATAGACTTTTCACATTTCTTAAGTGTATTCTTAAGTATTTTATCTTTTTTGTGCAATCGTAAATAGAGTTTTCTATCTTATTTTTTAACTGGTTATGTATCTGAAGGCCATTGGTTTTGTATATTAATTTTATATCCTCCTATCTTGCTAAATTCTTTTTTATTTGAGTTTATTTCATAATTCCCTGAAGGTTTTCAGGTGTCCTGTCGTATCATCTTCAAATAAACATACTTTTGATTCTTCTTTTCTAATTCTTATGCTTCTAACTGTTTTTATCTAATTGCATTGGCTATTACCACTCGTCAACCTGTATTGGAGACAGAGAACATCTATGTCTTGTTTCTGACCTTAGTAGGAATGTCTTTAGTATTTCTGCATTAAGTAAAATGCTGGCTTTTTATGATATATAATTTATAATGTTAAGGACATAGTCATCTAGTTCTATTTTCTCAAGTATTTGTATAAGGAGTGGTTGAATTTGTCAGAGGCTCCCCCAGTCTATGGAGATAAGCATATGATCTTTCTCCTTAAATCTATTAATAAGATGAATGATTGTATATTTTCTAATGTTCAGCCATCCATATATTTCTGGCACAAAACCTACTTGGTCATGGTGCATTTTCTAAATGTGATGTTAGAGTTTATTTGCTGACATTTTATTTAGAATTTTTGCATCAATATTCATAAGTGATACTGGCCTATAACTTTATGTGCTATCTTTACAGATTTGGGTATCAGTATTATACTTAAAAAAGATTTGGAAGTTTTCCTTCATTTGCTCTGAAGCAACTTATGTAACATTGAGACTATATGGTCTCTAAAGATACTCAACTATAATTTCAAATGAACAAGAACAAAAATTAGATCATTCTACATATATGGATTGGCACTATTTTGTTTTTCATTTAAAAGTTTAAAAAGTTTGTTCAAAGTTTATTTTACTTGTCACGTAGTATTCCTTCAGAAAGATACACTAAGATTGATGGAAACTTGGTTTGTTTTTAGTTTCATGCTATTTCAGGCCATATTTTCAAAGAACATTTCTAAACATATCTGTTTGCACATTTGTGGAAGTTTCAAGGATGAATTCCTTGATTTAAAAAAAAAATAAAGTTCCTCTTCACGAAGTCCTTAACCTCTAAAAACAATATGAAAAACATCAGACAGCTGATTTTTATAGAAAAGAAGAGGAAGACTTTCAGGACTTTTTAAGTTGGTTTTTCTATGGGTTTTCAGAAATGAACTCAAGTAATTTTTTTATTCAAAAAATTTATATAAAATGAGCTGGGACTCTTATCAAAAGCAGACTTGTAAAAAATACTGCCTCTTAGCTGGAATTTATTAATGAAAAAGAAAATTTATGATTAATGTTCAATTTTCTCTAGGTTAAAGACTGGCTTTCAAAAGTTCACAGCCAAGTGCTTTCTGAGACATCTTTCTCAAACACACCCTACCAATCTGGAGACTGGACCTGCTGCAGAAAGGGCGAGTTCCTTTGCAAGCTTGGACTTGGAAGGCATCGTGTTTCTCATAACATTTCGAAAAGTAACTATGGGAACTTTTTACACATTTCAGTTGAACAGATGTGTAATTTTTTCTGGCCAGTTGTGGTTGTTATCGAATTTAAGTAAACGTACTTCTTGCTTACATGTGTTTTCTGTGTTATGTGTACTCTGGGAACCCACACCTGACTGAGTTTAACTTGCTTAGCAAGTTTCCATCCAAGCAGATTTGGTTTGATCCTTAGGTCAACTGGAACAAATATTTTGCCTTTAAGTGCCCTAATAAAATCAGTTTGTATCTACAGGGATTGAAATGGCCTGTTTGTTTGTTTTTAACAGATAAAAATATACTTTTGATAATTACGACAATTCTCTTAATGGATCCAGAAAGATAACTTTTTTTTTTGGAAAGGTGTCAACATTTGATCGAGCACAGCTTCAAGGATTAAAGTACCTGGATATCAAAATTATTTTACATAACCCTAACTGAAAGTATTGCTTAATTTCTCTCATATATGCACAAAACATTTAGAATCAGTGACAGCCATTTTATATGGCAATGTTAACTATGTTATATAAGACCATTTTAAGAGTAAGGTGGTAATATCGTCACTAGATATATTTTGAAAGGTTCGTTGACTTTTCTTTCCACTAGACGAAAGCTCCTTGTGAGGGCATGTTGATTTTTCATCCCTGTAGGCCCAGAGCACCTCAGGTAGTATTTGACACAAAAGAATTACAGCTTCATAATCTCCTGTCTCAAATAGACTCTCGGCATTGCTTATCAAGGCTTTTACTTAAAGTCATAATTGGCCTTATTCCAGGAAGGCTGTCAGGCAGCCGCTGCTTTCAATCAGCTTTTCCTCTCAGTCCCTGTAACTATTTCAGACATTTGCCACTCAGGCCTCTCTACTCAACCCCATTTTCCTCAATATTCTCTATTTAAAAAAAATTTTTTTTTTGTTTTAAATTTGAGCCCTTTAAACATAATCTCAGCTTCCTAAGCCCCCTACCTACAATTGTTTTCCCACCCGTATTTCCTGTTTAAGCCAACCTTTCTACTCTTGTCCATGATCCAACTCCCTCCTGGTCGCTCCGAGGCCTTGCTTAATTTTTCTCCTCTTCCTCTTCCCCCCAGTGTCTTCACTTTTCCTCTTTACTGGCCAGTCTTTCTTAACACATCCCTACAGTGTTTCATCAAACTATATTTACCTGGTAGAATAAAGTACCATTCCTTCCCATTATATTCCGTTACCCTAGGGTTTAGTGAAATTGTTCATGTCATTCCTTGAAAAATGTTATTCACATTCATTCAACATATCTTTTTCTCCATTCATTCAATCATTTGAACATTCATTTAATAACCTCATATTTGCCAGGCATTATATTAGAAAGATAAATGAATTCTGTAATCCTTGCCTCAAAGAATTCCAACCAAGTACATGAGGCAGTCACGCAAACAGGGCATTATAAAGCTAGGAGGAAAGCCAAGGAGAGGAGCATTCGGGGTGTTATGGTGACACTGAAGGGGAGTATCTGCCTCACCAACCTAAATTCACACTTCTTAGGGTTCAGACCCATAGATATGCTGGGTGAGTTCACCGCTGGAAATTACCATTCCTATTTTGGATCTCGCATCTTGATATTTGTTTAATAAATGCCTGCTGGGAAACACCATTGTATTTTAATAAGTAAACATAATTATTTTAGATAGTAAGAAAAAATATATAAATTATTGTTATTCAAAATTCCAGGTACCTTTTAATAAAGGGGGAAAATAACATATACATTTATCATTGCTTTTATAGGCACAAAAAACTGAAAGGCTGCACAGGAAACTTATTAACAGTGGCTACCTATGTGAGAGAGGGATTTTTCCTCTGTTCTTTTTTTAAAATTTAATTTTTGAACTATGTATTACTTATTCAAAAAGTTAAATTATAACAAAGAAATCCTAGAGTTCTGGCCTCAACTTTTCCAATCTTATTTTCCATTTCTCTAACATGAAACAAATCAAGCTAGTTTTGTCTGTTAATTAAAGAATCATTAGCATGCAAATTTTGCTCTTCAGACATGTCCTTCATCTAAAACCATTTCTTCCAGGTCCAGCTCAAGTCCAGCAACCTGGATGAGGCCTTCTGTGATTAATGCCAGCTCACAGCAACCTCCTGTAAGCCATAGCTCTACAGAACAAGGTATGTCAGTTCATGTGGCACTGGTCATCTGCTGCTCTATAAAGTTACTTAAATGTTCATGTTTGGATATCTTGTATCGACTGGATTTCATACTCTTTCCATCACCTACATAGAAAGCACTTAATATTTCTCGAATTAATGCAGTCCACTCACTGAGGGGGATAAATACTGCCTTAATTAAAAGTCTTAAATGGAAAACTAAACAATAAGCTGTTGGAAGTGTTCCATAAGTCCCTGGAAAACAGTACGGAATTGTGGATTTGGAGTCAGACAAGCTCGGATTCAAGTGCTGGTTCCAACTGTATGAATTCAGCCAAGTTACTTAATATCCCTAAGCCTTCACGCCCTCTTTCTTAAATGCAGATTAAAAAAAAAATCGGCCTCACAGATATTGAGTTTGTTTGGAGAATTAGGTGAAATAATGGAGACATAGCAATTAACACTGTGCTCTTGCACAGAGTATGTGCTCAGTGGGAGGTAGTTACACCATTCTGAACTTTTAGGAAGTGCTTGCCAGAGAAAATACAGTACTCCTCAATGCAAATACGATGACAGCGTTCACTTTCACAGGTGTGCTGCGTTCCGGGGCCTGGGCTCCACCAGACCTGACTCTCAGCTCGGAGTCCTTGCTGCTGTGTGGAGGGTCCTCTTCCGTGCATCTCCCCTGCCCCTCCACCGCCACCAGCTCCCAGCCAGCAGCCTCTGCACTCAGGGCATCCATCACCTTCTAGGGACAGGGAAGATGAGTGACAGAAATTCCCACTTAAACGTCAGGACGCTTTTTTTTTTTTAATAGAAAAGCATTGTTATACACGATGGTTAGGGTCTTTAGTAAAATTATTATCGGTACGTGCGGTTCTTTGGCCATATCTGGAAATCTAAACCACTACGTCTAAAATTGTTTCTATGGGAAACTATGTTCCAAGTACAACTGACTTAGAAACGAACTATTGGAATGCAGCTTGTTTGGGGACTGTCTGTAGGTCAACTTTCATAACTCAAATTGTCAATGAAAAAGGAAATGACATTTGTTCTGCTCTTACCGAAACATACTGCACATGCAGTTCTATAACTATTTCGTGAGGACACCAAGTACCTAACGTTATTTAAAATAGCAGCCACATGAACCCATCAGATTGGACTGATATTCCGGGTCTAAATTATATTTGAGCTACTAACTCCAGCAACTCAGATGGTTAGGTGTCTTTTAGACATTTTTAGAATTTAAGATTTTTGAGGAAGGCAGAGAGAGACTTTGCTTCTGCAGAGCTCCCCTTGTGGTTATCTAGCTGCCGCGCGAGGCAGCGTGCTCCCTCCCCCTCCCTCCTCGCCGGCTTCTCTGCCCATGTATGGTCACTGTTCCACAGCCTTCTTGGTACTGAAGTGAGCAAGTCGGACCCTTATTAGGATCCAAGCTTAAAAGTTAAACAGCTCAGGGGCTAAGAATAAGAATCTCCTGTTTGTACAATCTGGTAGATCAACTGAACTGGGTTTGGGACAAAGTTATTCAGGGAGGAAGAGGTAGGAATAAGAATATTCTATATATTGATGTCCTAACAGAAAACCAGTGACTTGCCCTGTTTTAAATTCATCCTGTCATGAGTCCCAAGAAAGCATTTTTCTAACTCCCATGCTTCCATTCTGTGGGATTACCACAAAGAGCATCAGGTAGGTCTTTTCTTTCCGTGTTCTTTTTATGCCCTGTGTATGTGGACAGAAGCAATTTCCATTGCACTCTTTGCTGTTTATTCCAGGTTTACACTCAGTCCTGAGTTACCTTCTCTTTTCAAGTAATTTCTCTAAGAGAGAATAGAAAAAAAGCAGAACTAGGCAGATTATTCATTCTCTTTCCACGCCCTTGACAAAGTCAATTCTCCAGAAGGGTAAGCTTTATCATATGTCACGATAAAGGTTGCGAAGATACCTCACCCAGAGTGTTTGCCTTGTTCTAAGGGATAGTTGTAACTTTTTGAGAATTCTGGAAATTAAGCAGAATGAAACTTTTTTTTTCTACAAAAAAAATACTTGAAACGTTAGAGATCTCCAGTCACTTATGAAATGCCTCCTTTATACCATTCACAAAGGTGAATGACAAGACCCAAGTCCTAAAGATAAGCAGTCTTGATGCAGAAACAGAAATGGAAATAGATACTTACATATCAATAAGTGCTGTAATAAAGCTTTTCAGTGGCTCTGGGAAGTCCAGGTGAAAGAGTAACTGTCCAGGGGCGACTCAAAAGGCCTTATGGAGAAACAACAGATGGTCAGTCGGGCTGAGTCTTAAAGGTAAAGTGTTCAGAGCAGAGCAGGTGAACACGAGGAAGACCAGAGACTCCGGCAGGTAAAGATCTGAGGAGTCTCCCAGGCTCCCTGATTCTGCGGAAGTAAATGAGGGGGTGAATGTTGGTACTTTCATTAACTCTTGCTTTCAACAGATATTTATTGGGTACTTATTAGGTGCTGGGGGTTACAACGGTAAACAAGTTCTCCTGAAGATCATGGCCTGGCGGGAAGACATTGAACAAAATGCTGTAACTGTATAACAGCACTGTGCAAAGTACCATGACGGAAAACTCAGGTGCGGAGCGTTTAACCGTGGGACCTTTTTGGACTGGGGTGGGATGGCGTGTCGGCGTGCAGGTGACAAGGAAGAAAACGTCATGAAAAACAAGACCTAGCACTTTGCGGAGGGAGAGAGAACAGATTTTCCTTGGGGAAAAAGCATGGATTTGAAAGAGGAGGTGAGAGTCAGTGAGACAGAGCCCCACTCCCAGGAGAGGGAGTAGGTTGTGGGAAGACCAGAGAAGCAGACACATCCTTCAGGGTTTGTAGGAACTGTCACAAATTTGGGACTCTGTGGAAGATGGGAAGCCATTGAGTGGTTTAAGCAAAAGAATTAACATGATCAGATCTGTATTTTTAAAAATCACTGTGACTTGAAAAACAAACAAACAAACAAACAAAACATTGTGACTACCGTGTAGTGGTCAAAAAACTTTTTAAATCATGAACCTCTATCAATAAAATATTTTAAACCTGCATGCTAATGCAGGTATGTTTGTTATAACATAATATTATGTATATTAGGTAAAATACAGAAAAATAGTCATTTTCAAGAATGAGATAAATAGAAGTCCTGAGATTTTCTTCCCATGCCCGTCAGCTGGTCCTGTGCCCTCTGTGGGTGCAGGCCCCATTTGGGAGGCTCGTGGTGTGGGGCGTGGAGGGAAAGCAGGCCTGGGAGAGGAGAGATGGGTAAGAAGTGGTGGGAGGCTTGGATTAGGGCAGGGAAGGGAGAGGCACAGAGTTGAAACATACTCTCCAGGTTGAATAGAGAAGACCTGATGACTGGTTGGATGGGATGAGGGTCGGGCGGGGGGCTGAGGAGGGAGGACAGTGTTAAGGGAAGAGCTGCCAGTTTCTGGTTTGAGTAACTTCTAAAACGATGGTGTCAACCTGCCCTTTCAATGCAGTTGAGTAAAAAAGTCTTAAATTTTGGAGTTAAAAAAAAAAAAAGGAAGAACTCTTACAGTCATTTTAGTAGTGCATGTGGGTTTTAATTATTCATTTTTGTAAGAGGGATTAGCCCTAATGCCCAAGTTTTTTGTTCTCATCTTTTATCTAAGGATAGGAAGTTCCCATAGAAAGCCGAGGTTTCTAAGGCCCCACCTTTCTCTCTCTTGCTTGCTTTCTTGCTCTCTTTCTCTGAGACTGAGTTCCTTCTGGGTTGTAAAAATGCAGGATTACTTTTATTATTTGCAGTTTCGATGGTGACATATAATTAAATTATACATACATAAATTAGGACTCTTCTTTTCCCACTGATCCATTTTATAACACTTAGTACATTTTCAGAACGACTTGAGTCTGTTTCTCAGCATGGAGTACACTGAAAATAATGCTATTCACAGATTCCCACAAAAGTGAAATGTTGGAGGAGTTACAGCTACTCTCACACGCTGACGGCGGGCCTCCTTTGCCCCGCTTCAGAGAACTGGGTGGGAATCCCCTCACCAAGGACGCCCTTGGCTCAGCGCTCATCTGTAGGCAAATGTCAGCTGCAGCTACTATTAAAAAACCCTTTAAAAACCCATAAGCACTCGTAGTGATTATGAGGATCCAAAAAGATAATGGATATAGAGCATTCTGTAAACTGTGAGTTCATACATGCATGAACATTAATATCTTTAAAAGAAAATTATTTTTAAGCACTCCTGAAGTAGCAACTTTCAGGAGTAGAAATGGGATAAATCAATGAATAAAATGTGAGCTGTCATAGCCACAGACTATGCCATAATTAAAAGTGTGCTTGAATGATTTTGAGTTTGGAATGACATTTAGGATGGAAGCAGGATGATTCTGCTAGATGCGTACTTGAGTGAAAATAGGTTTTCTGTCCCCTGTTAGATATTTGTAATTACTTTGCTTCACCTTCTTAGTTATAAAAATTAGTAAACAAACCACAAATTTGGGCCTGTTCAGTGATCCAAAAGCACAGAAGGAATATTATTTATAAACTTAGAAATGCCTTGCTAGTTTTCTCCAGATAAGAGAATTTGACCTAATTTCAGAGAACAAATTTTACTGTATATATACAACTTTATATAGGCTTGTCAACTACTTTGGAGAGAGAAGGGTTTTCTTTAATCATTTAGATATCTAAAAGTCATGTGTGACTATCACATTCATTGTTTATGTTCAAAAACTGCTGAAAACGTGACCTGAAGTTATGGTTGGGGACTTTACCTTACTTTTCAGGTGTGGCCTTATGCTCACTGTTTTAGTGGCAGCCCTGGAAAGCAGAAATCCTGACTTTTTTCCCCAGCAGTCCAAGCCCTAGGAAGGGTAGTGGATTCCAGGTTACAGTTTAGCTGTTGGTTTATAGGCAGAAGCGTACGGGGAGGATTAGTGGGCACAGTCAAAATGTCTTGGCCAGAAACATGAAGGGAAGAATTTCCTGCTGTTAGAAAGAAATTCCTCTAGGCCGAGAGGAAGAGGAAAGAGAGGGAACATTGGAGACCCTAAGGGTTGAAGGGACCTGGGCACTGCTTCTTAGCTGAACTGCTAAGGAGAAGGCAAGACCCTAGAGAGAAATGGCTATGACGTGTGTAGATGGGCAAGGATGCCCATGTCCCAAACATGGCACCGAAGCAGTCAAGAGCTGCTGGACCTGAGTAGGTGTCTTTGCAGCAGGTAACTTCTAAAGCAGAGGACCAGATGCACCCATCCTTGATAATATGTAAGACCCCAGAGCTGTGGCACGATCTTGGGAAACCAGGAGGGGAGAGCCTCAAAAAGGGCTGTGGTTAAATCTCCCATCCTACAAGATGGGGACTAGAAATGGAAAATAACTTGATGTAGAAAATAAAATTCTATTTCTTGCAAAAATAAGTTTGTGGACTAAGATAACAACTTCAAAGGGCAAACTTTTTTGTATCAGGTGCAGAAATACACTTCAGTTTAGTGTGTCTGGGCCATCATACATTCTGGAACAGTAGGATATGAACGAATGAAGGTTAACCTTGCCAGCACTCTAAAATGAAAAGACGTGGAAAGGGTTCTCAGTGCCAAGTCAGAGTCATTTAAACAGTCGACTGAGATGGGATTTAGAAGCTTGTATAGGACTGGAATTTTTGACAGGTAACAAAGGGCCTGATGAGATTTTAGGCTTTAGAGGTAGCTTACCCAGTAATGCTCTATTTTATTTCTGTTTTTCCAGAAGACACCATGAGGCGAAATAGGGACGTTTAGCTCTAAGAAACAGTGGGCAGTAAAGCCTTCCCTGTGAAATCCCTCTTTGACTGCCAGGGAGTGCCAGAGACGACCACACACACAGGGAAGCCCCTCTCCCTTCCCCCCAGATGTCTGTGGGTAGCTACCAAATGAGAGCATCCAGGGGCAGACCTGACTCCCCTACCGATGTCTTCAGTGTGAAAAAGTGCTGGGAATAGCCAACCGGGATTGCAAATATGAAGGGTACTCTTGAAAGTAGAGAGTTGAGTTTGGTGTGGAAACGGCCTGCCAACACCTTGGGGGAAACAGAACTCAAGATGTGAAGACAGAGAAAGCAGTAAGTAGCAGGGAGAGGAGACAAGCCCCATCTTAAGGTAAGAGGTGTCAGGGGAAAAATAAAAGGGAAATAATGACAGGGAAGGGAGAGGAGAAAGCATTGACATCACATGGGGATTTCTGATGGGAGAGGAAGTGAAAACTGCAGAAATAGAAAGAGGAACTTGAGGACCAAAGGGCTTTATTTCCTAGTTGCCCCCCCCCCCCGCCCCACTTTCCTCCCACAAGAAGCAACCATATTAAGGGGAGGAGATCCCGGAAATGTCCCTTTGCACCTTTGCCTCTGATTTTGTGATTGGAGATGCCAGCTCTTTAGTAGGCTATTGTCTAGGCTGGAATGGAATGAGGGATGTTCCCAGAGTGGAATGTGGCCTGTTTGCATTTGGTAGAGGAATGAGGCTCCCATCCAACTTTGATGCTAATACTTAAAAGAACAAGAAAAGAAATTACAAACTCACTTTTTACGTGGTGCTCATGTGGGGGGAAAGAGGGTGGGAAAGCAAGAGGAGAGCTGTGTCTTCCAAGATGTTATTTTGTCAAGCATTTAATCAACTTTTGCTCAAGGCTAATTGTAAAAATGCATTGTGCACTTCTACCTGCAGCAGGCAGTTTGCAAGCTGCAGGTGCGATTGAGAAAGTCGCTGTCAAGTTCCCAGTGGAGATTCAAAAAGTATTTACACACACAATGAAATTTATGAGTCTCACACTGTTTGGGGAACCAGAAATAGATTACAGACCACGTTAAAACACCTTTAAAAGAGCCAGCATGGAAAACTGTCACCAGATGAGGGCCTATACTTTTTAAAAAATGTTTTTAATTTTGGTAAAATATACATAGCATCGAATTTACCATTTTAACCATTTTTAAAGTGTCCAGTTCTGTGACATTAAGTACATTCACATTGTTATTCAACTATCACATCATCAATTTCCAGAACTTTCTTATCTTTCCAAACCGAGCCTCTGTACCTCTTAAATAATAACTCCCATCTACCCCTCTCCCAGCCCCTGGCAACCGACCACACCATTCTCTTCTCTATGTCTATGAATTAACTATTCTAGGTACCTAACGTAAGTGGAGTCATACTGTGTCCCAGGTGATGGCAGATGGGAGGGCATGATCAGTCTCACCTTGCATTTTGAAATGACCAGCTGGCTCTGAAAATAATCTCCAAAACTCATTAGGCTCTAATTTCTGTTGTTAAACGCAGCACCTAGGCAGCACCAGGAATTATCAGTAAGCCACTGGCCCATCTAGTCATGCCCAGAGCAGAAGCCTAAGAAAACATGAGCATTTACTTACAGCCAGTACACAGATATGGTTCCCATGGAAATAACTCAAAGAAACTACAAAAAAGGAAATGGGAGACATTACAGTTTTTAGGCCTTTTTAATTTCTTAAAACTTTTTTGATATATTTTCTTTTGAGGGAAGTTTTTATATTTCTTACAAATCATCAAGAGTTGTTTTATTCAAAAAATATTTTCCAGATGATTGAAACTAGTAAAG